GTTTGAACTAGTGTTAATGGTTAGAGCTCATAACCATCACTCTTCGTCTTTCTGATGATAAAGACAAAAACATAAACTTAGACTCGTTGGTTTGTTACTGCGCTGCGCCCCAAGTCTTCCAAACCTTTGTCCTTATAAGGGAGTAAAAATAGTCAGGATGTGTTTCCTACAGCGACTTGGTCTGAGGGTCCTAACAGGAGAGTCCACTTCTTCACTTCGAAGAACTTCATAACAACAATAACACCTAGTAATATAGCATAGTCTGAACTGTTAATATACCTTCATAATCTTGGACATATAAGAACAATAATTCAGTTATACTGCCTGTCAATCATACTACTCATGGGTGTGTTTGGAGCGGGAACCATCAGAACAACATGAAGATATAGATATGAAGTTCATCATTAAGGCATTTTGTTAAAATAATATGCTAACAACATGCCCCATGAAAACTGTTTCTAAAAGCTATTACCTATAGCTAAAGGTTAGCCACAGGAATGGTCAAGTTTAACAAAAAAACCCAAAAACATAAAAGTTAGCTAGAAGGATTACGACAATATGCACCCGAACTGCTGAAATATATAAAAAGATAAAAAAATGAACAAAAGTAGCCACACATTTTCACGAAAGAAAAGAGAAATAGAAAAAAGAGTCTTAATGTTTTTGCCCAAAGAATATCTTCATTTATCTGATGAAAACACGAATAATAACAAAAGAGCCAAAGCAGATAAAGAATAATGAGATAAGTATTAGTCTAAAGTACATAAAATATATTTTTAGGTCAAATATTGATGAACCTGTAAATTGACGGCTTAAACAAAATGTACTAAATGAATGAAGAAAAATTAAGTGAGCAGTTGTATTGAAATACCTATATTAGCCATGGTTTAAATTTTTTTTTTTTAAATTCTTTATCAACATAGTCAAAGACCAGCCTTCAAAATAACTAAAAGTCAACTGGGAGAAAATCTTAAATAAGGTAGAAAATCTCAGCATATCTAAAAGTTAGCCAAAGTATGGCTTAAAGTTAGCTATAACTGTAGCATGTAATTTAACAAAAGTGAACAAAAGGCTTGAATTCTGCTAGTCGTCACCTCAGCTGTGAATGTTGAAATGTTTTTTTTGTGTGTGTCCTAGGTTCCAACATCTGCACATCTCGAGGAGTTACCACTTGTCAACAGTGCCTGGCTGTTCACCCGAGCTGTGCGTGGTGTTCTCAGGAGGTACCAACAACAAACACACACACACACACACACACACCCAGTCTCAAATCCATAGCATGGTGTCTTATCAGTGTGCAGCAAGTTCTGACAGAACCCTCATTACCAAACAGTAGCATTCCTCCAGCTCTCATCCCGTTTATCTCTGGTTCCTCAACATGTGTGCACAGTGTTGCCCCACATCGATTTCAATACGATATTTAAGCCTTTACTGTTGTGTGTGTGGGCTTTTAAGCTCCTCATTATGTTATGGGTAATCATGTGACTTGTGGCTGCCTTCGAGGTTAACCCTGTAAGATGTGTTTTTGAAGGAGTTTGGTAAAGGAGGATCCAGTGTCCATCGTTGTGACCTGAAGGAGAATCTGCTGACTGAAGGGTGCAATGGTGGCAGCTTGGAGTTTCCCTCCAGCACCTTCAGCATTCTGAAGGACACGCCACTGAGCGACAAGGCTTCGGGCGCAGCTGACGACGTCACTCAGATAAAACCACAGAAGGTTCACATAAAGCTAAGACCAGGTATATTTAGTCAATACATTTTAAAGTAAAAATAAAAACAAAGCAGGAGGAGGATTGTGTCAAAAACTTTATTGAGAAGTATTATCAAGAAATAGAAAGAGATCCATATGGGAGAGAACACATCAAGAGGAGAGAATTAAAAAACAATCTGGTTAGAGGCAGGTCTTAAGACCACGTTTATTGACTGAGCTCAGTCTGGATTTAAGGTTATGCCGTAATGGACTGTGAAGACACAGGCCAGGAAAATCCTTAACTGGTGGCCACGTAATTCCAAGAGTTGATTGTGTGCCTTTTTTTTTGTTTTTGCTGAATCAAAGACTGCAGTTGTTTGCAGGAGGCTCAGACAAATCTCCCAGACCTGCTTCCTGATTCTCTTTTGGCAAATCTCTTTAGCTCATCTACATGAAATGGTTTTCTCTCTGTGTTTGGGTCACTTTACAGATTTTCTATGTGGTTTAGAGCAGGTAAATCAATGACTTATCCCTTTGAGCCAATTACATTCTTCTTGACCATCTGGGGTTAGAACAACGAGAAAGAGTTGTAAGAGTTCTCTCCTCCTGACTCATACCACACTAAGATGTTGACTACGTTGACACTGCTGGAAAAAAAATGGCCTGAATCAGACTGTTTTCCTCATGTTGTTTGGGTCAATTTGAACCAAATTTAGTTTTTAACAGAACAAATCAGATTCTTTTTTTTTTCTCAAATCAGAACCAGAACCTTTTTTATGTGTGGTTTTAAATTAGCTGACTATCTTATGATTGTTTAATATGAGTTCAACTAAACCTCAGTTTGAAAGTTGATGTTACAATTGAATTAACCTTTTTCTGTTGTTCTTATTTGATGTTGTAATCGAATGAAAACAATGTTCACAGCGAGCAAGGCCAACACCTTTGATGGCAGTGGAAAGTGGAATAACAATGACAAGGTTTACTTTGGACTGGGCAGGAAACAGGTGTCAAAGGGCACAACTGTCTGGGCTGCAGAGTGCACTTGAATGTAGACCATTCTTGTTGCATCGAATTCAGTGGGCGCCCGGGGAGCAGTGTGGTGCCATGCTCAGTGGTAACTCGGCAGCTGGTGGACTCGAACCTAAGTCCGCTTCCTTAACCACTAAGCCACCACTGCTGCATCTTTATAACATCTTGCTAATAATCTGCTAGAACATTAAAAAGCTGAAAAGCAGGTTTATATGTTCAGCTTGAAGATAAGCTGTTCTGTTTTGCAACACTGCGTCAGTTGTTAACTGTGGTCTGATAATTAGGTCAGTGTAAAGAGGAGAGCAGTCAAAGTAATATACTGTAAGGCTCCTAAGTAAAGCTGGTATGTTAGGAAATGTTGTTTGGAAACTCCCTGCCCTGGTGAACTTTTAAAAGTACTCTTTTATCTTTTGTTATTTCTCAACTCTTTTTTTTCCCCCCAGGTGATTCCAAACACTTCACAGTTTCAGTGAAGCAGGCGCAGGATTACCCAGTGGACCTCTACTATCTGATGGACCTGTCGTTCTCCATGAAGGACGACTTGTTTCGCCTTCGCACTTTGGGCAACGAGCTCGCTGTAACCATGGGCCAGACCACAAGTAACCTGCGAATGGGTTTCGGAGCCTTTGTGGATAAGACCATATCTCCTTATATGTACACTTACCCTCCAGAGGCTGTGAGAAACCCTTGTCGTGGGTATGGACCAAGATTTTTGATGTCAAGTAGCATTTTATATAGAAAACAGTTCATTGGTTTAAGACATGGTTTCATTTCTTTTTCCCTAATCTGTTCACCTGTATAGTATTAGTGAAACGTGTCTGGCACAGTTTGGGTTCAAGCACGTACTGACACTGACGGAGGAAGTGGCCCGATTCACAGAGGAAGTGGAGAAACAACAGGTCTCCAGAAATAGAGATGCTCCTGAAGGTGGTTTTGATGCTGTCTTGCAGGCTGTGGTTTGTAAGGTACAACAGCTGTGGTTGTTAAAACACTGGTTCTCACAGTAACAGAGTTAATAACAGAGTTATGTTCCCTCAACTTTTTCTGTTTGTTATGTGTCCCATCAACATTAGGACAAAATAGGCTGGCGCCCTGGTGCCTCACATTTACTGGTATTCACCACCGATGCTAAAACCCACATCGCACTGGACGGGCGTATCGCAGGGATCGTCCAGCCTCACGACGGACAGTGTCACCTGGATGAAAACAATGTTTACAACAAAACAGCTGTACTGGTAAAGACTGGGGATTTTCTTTTTTTTTTTTTAACTTTTTTTTTGACATTTTACATTTTGAACAATAAGCTGTACAGTTTGGCTGTATTTGACTTTTCTTATGTTTCCGTTCATGTTGGAGCCACAACTTTAGTTTCTGTGTCTTTCAGGACTACCCCTCTTTGGCGCTTATGACTGAGAAAATGTCCGAAAACAACATTAATTTAATTTTTGCCGTTACAAAATACGT